CCAGGTAATGTCTTCCCCCTCTCTCTCTCTCTCTGTCTCTGTTTAAAATTGTTGGTAAAGTGTTGTCAACAAATATTTTTCCTTCACATCTCATAATGTACAGCACATCGGCCTACGGCAGCTGGATTAGTTCAAAAAGATGCAGTACTTTTTGCGGTTGGGTCTGTTTTAATCTAGATCATATTCTCACCACAAATGAACCACTCCAGGCTTTGTTTGAAAGCGTACCGAGACCACCTCTTCAAGGAGGTCTCGATACGCTTTTTTGGTCCGCTTTTGGTGCACACTCGAGTACGATTATTACATTCACACCTGCCCAAATGAACCACACCAAGAGGAAAAAAACGAACTCTAGTTAGATTCAACAGAACTAAATAAGGCAGGTGTGAAAGTACCCTAAACGGAACACTACAGGGCGGCATGACGCCGTTTCTTTTCTTGCTTACCAGCTGACCGCTTACCTCCATATGGACGACTTTTTGGCTGTTACCAGCTCGCCATGTACGTCGGTGGACTTAAGAGAGGAGTTGACCTTGACGATGGGGTTTGAGTGCAGTGAAGAACAGTTCCAGATAGCAGGTTGGACAAAAACAGACGCCAAAAAAAAAAAAATAAATAAATAAAATAAATAAAAGTAAATAACAGGGTGAGAATGTGGTAAAATCTGAAAACATGGTGAAAATAAGGCGAGGGCTTTTGTTTTTCTGAATTGCTTTTTACAACTGTCGGTTGGGTTTAGGGAAGTGGGTGAGCGGGTCAATCTGTGATTTTGAAAACACTATTGGTTGGGTTTAGGGAAGGAGAAGAGTGGGTCAGTCAATTGGTCAGTCAGTCAGTCGACAGCGGCGTCTGGTGATTTAAGCGAGAACAGCAGATGCGAATGGCACTCGCAAGAAAAATTTGAGATATCAAAAAGCGTTCACAGTGCACTCTGGTGGATTCGTGAAAACAAAAACTGCAAAAAATGTACCTCCTGGAACGGATTTGGCGCTTTTCATAAATGTATATAGTGATACGTTTTCAGAATGAGTCTGGGTTGCTATATACAGTTGAACTCAGAATTATTAGCCCCCTTTGAATTTTTTTCTTCTTTTTTAAATATTTTCCAAATTATGTTTAACAGAGCAAGAAAATTTTCACAGTATGTCTGATAATATTTATTTTTCTTATTTGTTTTATTTCGGCTAGAATAAATGCAGTTTTAAATTTTTTTTAAACACCATTTTAGGGACAAAATTATTAGCCCCTTTAAGCTATATATTTTCTCGCCTTTAAATGTCACTTTAAGCTGTATAGAAGTGTCTTAAAATTATCTAGTTAAATATTATTTACTGTCATCATAACAAAGATAAATTAAATCAATTATTAGAAATGGGTTATTAAAACTATTATGTTTAGAAATGTGTTGAAAAAAAATCTTCTCTCCGTTAAAGAGAAATTGGGGAAAAAATAAACAAGCGGTCTAATAATTCAGGCAGGCTAATAATTCTGACTTCAACTGTATATGCTAACTATATGTATACTTTTTTATACTGAATATTATTTCAAACTACAAAAATTAAAAAAAAAGTCACTTTGTTAAACTGCAGAGCTAAGTTTTCCACATGAAAAGTCAACAGGGCAGAGATTAAGCTCCAATAATGCAATTCATAACTCTAAATAAACAGAAAAATCATGTGAATCACGAATACAGAACCTGTTAATTAACGGATATATTTTCTACAGTGTATTGTTGCTTTAGCTGTGAGTTTTACACTGGGAATCTCTCGTCAAACCTTCAGCCTCAGGCCAGACCAGACGATCTGTCACAGCCTGCTGGGTTTGTTGTCCAAACTTGTAAGTCTTTGCAAAGTTTACCACGTAGAGTTGCCTTGAAAGTTTCAGCTACCTCCACATTTTGTCCCTTTGTTCTTTTTTGTGAGCTTTTGTAACAGTTCTTACAGCCGATCTTTAATCTGGCCAGTAGTCTCTGTTTCAGGTCTGACCTACAGACGGAGCTGTGCGCCTGATATATGTTGAAGCTGCACACGAGCGTTAGAATCTCAGGCTTCCTTCCAGAAATGACATCATGAGTCTGACTGCTGCTCTCCCTTGAGACGGTGGTTGTGGTGAAGAGGTTTCGCTGTTCACACTCATCGCTCTGGAATGCAGAATGGATTCTATTAGAATGCCTGAATGATGAAGGTGATGATGATGATGGTGACCTTCTAAGGTTCTGAGAACCATGCTGCAAATATAATCACTCGCTTTACCGATTATTTTAAATGATGTTATAAGATATAAACAGCAGAGGCCTGAGTTATTAGCCCTCCTGAATAATTATATTTTGCCCCAATTTCTGTTTAAGTTTTCGGTTAAAGTTTCTAAATATAATAGTTTTAATAACTAATAATTTTTATCTGATTTCTTTTATTTTTGTCATGATGACAACACATAATATTTTACTATATATTTTTTCAAGATACTTGTATTTAGCTTAAAGTGACATTTATAGGCATTGCTAGGTTCATTATTTTAACCAAGCAAGTCATTGAACAATTGTGGGTTGTTCTGAGACCAATTAAAAAAAATCTTATAAGAAATAAATATAAATTCCTTAAGGGGACTTAATATTGACAATTTTTTTCTGAAGAAATATGACTTTTCCTATTAGAAATATATAGGTAAATATAGTGAAAAAGATGTATATATATTTCCCAGAGATGAGTTGTGGCTGGAAAGGCATCCGCTGTGTAGAAACGTGCTGGATAAGTTGGCGGTTCATTCCGCTGTGGCGACCCCGAATTAATATAGGGACATTTCTGTGTAAAGTTTGTATGTTCTCCCCAAGTTCACATGGGTTTCCTCCGGGTGCTCTGGTTTCCCTCACAAGTCTAAACACATGGGGTACAGGTATGCTAAAATTGACCGTAGTGTGTGTGTGTGGATATTTCCTAGTGATGGGTTGCAGCTGGAAGGGCATCAGCTGCGTAAAACATATGCTGGATATGTTGACGGTTCATTCCGCTGTGGCGACCCCAGATTAATAATAGGACTGAGCTTAAAAGACAATGAATGAATGAATGCAAAGTTAAATTTAAATTTTAAAATTGGGGCAAAAGTTGGTGTCAAATTAGGCCCCCACCAATATCAAAAGCAAATCTACACTCTTGAAAATAACATTTGATTTAATAGAACACTGTTGTGAGTTAGTAACCACAGCAAACATATATTTCTGCTAAAAACATAAATCTTTTAAAAAGAGGGTTTTATGAAAAATGTTACTTTTTTCCCCGCTCTTCTCTACATAAAATAAATACTCAGCACCAGCATGCATTTTAAATACTGTAAACATACAGTTGTGATTTACTTTAGCCCTATAGTTCAGCCTAATATATAAAGAATTTCAGTCAGGCCTACTTCACTGAGGGAAAGATCTACTGTACAATCCTGTAAATAATAGCCAATGACACAAATTTAAAATGTTAGAGAATTATAATTTATTTTTTTTTTAATTTAAGTGATTTGAATCTCTAAAAAGATAATTGTTTAAAAATGTTATTAAAATTGGGCGGCACGGTGACGCATGTGGGTAGCACAATCGCTAGGGCCAGACGGAATCTGCGGACATTTTTTTGTTATTTCTGCAGAGAATTTTGGTAAAAATCTGCTGAATTATTTTGGGTGTATCATAACTAAAACCTTTATATGTGAAATAAAATATAATATCTTCTTAACTTGTATTTAATGTTTAAAATCCAATTAGATTCACTTCATTTGGTAAACAAAGAAAGTCTCTCATATAATATCTCGAAAAGCCAGAAAATATGACTGTACTAACTGCATTGTGCCAAAATCAGATGAACATTTTCATATTAGTCAAGTATATTACTGTAATTAATTAAAAATGAATAAATATAGGTTTACGCACATTTACTCAAGTAAATAAACAGAATTAATGATGGGCTAAGAATCTGGAGAAATCTGCGGAATTCTGCACGGGCAGATTCTGTGTGGGCCTAACAATCGCCAAACCAGCAAGAAGGTCGCTGGTTCGAGCCTCGGCTGGGTCAGTTGGTATTTCTGAGTGGAGTTTGAAGGTCCCCTCTGTGTTCATGTGGGTGTCCTCCGGGTGCTCTGGTTTCTCCCTCAGTCCAAAAAAAAAAAAAACGGGATATAGATGAATTCATTTTCTTTTCGGCTTAATCCCTTTATTATTCAGGGGTCGCCACAGCAGAATGACACCCAGCGGACACCCTTCCAGCCACAACCCATCTCTTGGAAACATCCATACATCCTCATTCACACTCATACACTTTGGACAATTTACCCTACCCAATTCACCAGTACCGCATGTCTTTGGACTGTGGGAGAAACCGGAGCACCCGGAAGAAAACCCACGTGAATGCAGGGAGAACATGTAAACTCCACACAGAAACGCCAACTGACCCAGCCGAGGCTCGAACCACCGACCTTCTTGCTGCCCATATAGGTGAAATGGGTAAGGTAAATTGTCCGTAGTGAATGTGTGTGAATGGATGTTTCCCAGTGATGAGTTGCAGCTGGAAGGGCATCTGCTGCGTGAAACATATGCTGGATAAGTTGGCGGTTCATTCCGCTGTGGCAACCCCAGATTAATAAAGGGACTAAGCCGAAAATAAGATAAATGAATGAATGAATGGAAACTGGTAGCCATTGACCTCCATTGTAGGACTTGTATGAATAAAATACTATGGAAGTCAATGGCTTGCAACATTCTTTAAAACATCTTTTTTGTGTTTAACAGTAGAACAAAATACATCATGTTATAAAAGTAAAAAACTTAATATTTATATAACTAAACATGGATTTTCTCCTCCTTTAACAGCTGTGATTTGCAGCTTTAAGTACAGTAGCTCAATCCCAGCGTCTTTTCTCCTCTGTGGCACAAAATGGGCGTGGCTTATGAGAAGTCTCCGCCCCCCGCCGTGTTGATTGACGCCCAGCAGTGGCCCCTCCTTAAACTTTTTTTTTCCCTCCTTCGTTTTCCACTGAAGTGCGTGAATTTCATACCAAACCCATACTTCGCATTCCACCTTTACTGTCAAACCGGGAGAAATATTGCAGAAAACAAAAGAGCACCGAGATAAATATAACTTTAGCGAAATAAACCTCGTCCTGCTCTATCGGTAGAGGTGTTTCCTAATAAAGGTGAGTTTTTAGATTCCCTCGTTCCCTTTGTCTGATCGCGTTTTTCATGCCGAAGTTTTCGGATCTTTGTCATATTTTGCATTTTTCCTCGGAACTCCCTGCGTTGGGTGGGATGAGGGACAGAATTCCATGTGGATATGCTGTAATTGTGCGTGTGAGAGAGCCAGGGAGCCGATTTTAGCGTATTAGCCGGAAACTTTTGCCTCTGAATTACACTTTTAAGTTAGAAACATTAACTAATCCAACTTACGCTTCCATTGTTGCGCGTTGAAGTTGGGTCGAAAAATGTCACGCTCGTTCGCACAGGCTCGTGTTTACTCTGCTAGTGGGATTTTCCAAACACTTGTGACTGAAAATAAGAAAAGAGTTTTTGTTGTTGCAGGGAAATTGTCAGAGAGAAACGACAGAAGTGTTTGGAGAGATCGTTCACCCCCTTTTCGACGTTATCAGGTAGGTTTGATTACGTTTGTTTGACTTGACAGGCTTTGCTCGAGATTTAATATATATACTGATTTCTGTGAGGTGATTGAATTAACGGTAGATTAAGGAATACATTAAACACGACGGTATGTTTATAAAACTCTTCTGTTGTAACGTTACATGTGGTGTAAACAAGACATGGACAAATGTATTATCTTGTATAATATATATAAACAACAGTAAAACAATTTTGAAACTCGTTAATGTGTTAACTGATTTATGTGTACACGTATTTGCCGTCAGGCACTTTTCATGTAACGTTACCGTATTAGGCTAAGCGAAAACAAAATTTAATGACGTTCATTATTTTAAATGGGAGTTGTTGTTGTTTTAAAGACGTTAAACTTTTGGTTTTAGGCTTCTAAAATGCCAATTTTTATAGTAACGTTTTTTAAAAACTATTTTCTGTTTAACGATCAGTTTTCTCAGGTAAATCATTGCTTTCAGACACTTCTAAAGGGATAAACGAAATATTGTTCATGTATTTGAATGGGAATTACTTATTTAATGTCTACAAACCATTGGTTATAATATAATAATGCTTATTTTTTCATGTATTAGATACATATTTGCCGATAAAAATCACCACTCTTCACGGGTAAAGCAGTGACGTTGAGTGATCTTCCCGCCCAAACTTCTACCTTTCCTCAGATTTTCTTAACTCTTAGTGGTTTTACTTGATTTGAATCCATTTTGGTGTCAGATTTTGTGACATTAATATTATTTAAACCAATAATAAAAGCAGTTTATTGTTTTGTATAAACTTGTTTTTCATAGTCTTCATGGTCAATACAGCAATGAATAGTAATTCTGGGAAAAAATAATATATATATATATATATATATATATATATATATATATATATATATATATATATATATATATGATAAAATTAAAAATGAACAAAACTAGTAGGGTCTTTATATTTAAATCGATGTAATTTAATTAGTATGACATAAATGTAACTGGAAATCATATTGGAATTCACTTTCGTTCTCACAGCAATAGTATGTCTAATGAGTTCTCATCATATGGATATAATTTCTATATCATTGCTGAAATAATTAGCATTTTAGAAATGTCTGCCTTGGCAAGTGAGTGAGACTTAAGTATTTTTATTTAATACTGATTTCTGTAAGGTGAATAAATTAAGAGTAGATTAATAAATACGATGGTCTATTTAAAAAACTCTTCTGTTGCAGCGTTACATGTCGTGTAAACTATACATGGACATGTATTATTTAGAAAAATATAAGAATATAAACAACGTTGAAACAATTACGTAACTCATTAATGTGATAACTGATTTATGTGAGCACAGATTTGTCATGACACTTCATATAACGTTACCGAATTAGGCTGAAGTGTAAACAAAATTCATAAACGTTCATTATTATGTGACGATCATTATTATGTGACTATAAATCTTTGGTTTTAGGCTTCTATAATGCTAATTTTTGTACTATTTAAACTATTTTGATAAAACGATTCATTTCCTCAGGTAAAACATTGCTTTCAGACACTTTTCATATTGTACCAAATTAATGTTCATATTTTTTAATGGGAGTTGTTGTTTTAATGTTTATAAACCGTTGGTTATGCTATAATAATGCTTAATATTTCTAGTATTACATGCAAATTTTGCCGATAAAAATGACCAGTTTTCTAAGGTAAAGCAGTGACTTTGAGTGATCTTCCCGCCCAAACTTCTGCCTTTCCTCAGATATTTTTTTTATCTCTTCATGGTTTTACTTAATTTGGATCCATTTTGGTGTCTGTTTTTGTGACTTTAATAATATTTAAGCCAATAATAAAAGAAGTTTATTGTTTTGTATGAAGTAGTTTTTCAAATGCAGTCTTCATAGTCAAAACACCAGTAAGTAGTAATGCTGCAAAATATGTATATATGTTTATGTATTTTTACGTTTGTGTAGTGTGCCACAAAAAATTGAAATGAACAAAACTAGCATGGTCTTTATATTTAAATGAACTTAATGGAATACTCTTCAGTCTGAACTAAAGATATCTGAGCTCATCCCAATGACATTGTTTCGCTCTATCCTTTTTAACAAACAACAACAGTCCATTTCTCAATGTATGTGATTTTAATATATTGAAATGTGGTAAAGCTGGAAAATGGAACTGTATTTTTATATTATATCAATTTTTTATTTATTACTAATATTATTACATTTTTATTTTTTATTTATTTTTATTTTTTATATAAATCGTGTGTTGCAGACCTCTTGGTTATCTGGTTAAATAAAAAACATATATATATATATATATATATATATATATATATATATATATATATATATATATATATATATATATATATATATATAATTAGTGTGATATAAATGTAAAAGGAAATCTCAGGGGGATTATTCATTCTCACAACAATTGGAGATTTAATGAATTCTCATCTTATAATATTCATCTCATTGCTGAAATATATAGCATTTTAGAAATGTGTCTTGGCAAGTGAGTGAGACCCAAGTGCTTTTGCTTCATAAATATGCAAATAAGTTTTTGGTTCGCACCATGCTTATGCAAGTGAGTTAAAATGATGCTCTACACATTTTTATTGTTCCTCTGAGTTCCTATTAATGGACAGGTTTCGTTAAAGAGAAATGCTGCACTTCAGGTTGGTCTTAGTCAGTTCAGCCCAAACTGCCTCTTCAAGTTCTGCTGCTTGCCTTGCTGGGGTTGTCTTATGTTTTAGCTCCTTTCAGAAAGGTTAGGCTTCTCAAAAAGAGGTGTATAAAGAGGTCGAGATGTGTTTTGAAGTGATTGTTGCTCTGTGCATTTCTTTCTGTTTTGCGTATTTTGTCTCCTGAAAGATTATATATGCACACCAGATGTTGTGGAGGGTGTTTGTTTAGTCAACTGTGGAAGTAACTCAATTGTGCTCTAATTTTGTTTACATTTTAATTGGATTATTTGGAGCCAAATCTGACTTTTTATTTCTCTTTGCACTCAAAAATGTTTGGTTGTGTTAACCTAATGTTGGGCCAAAAATGGACGAAACCGTCCTTTTGGTTAATTTCTTTCAATTAAATTGCAATTTATTTTTAAAACTGTTTTTAACTGATGTATTTGTTCATGTTTGACCCAATGTTAGGTTAATAGAACACAGCATTTTTTAGAGTGTACTGAGTTGTTTCCCCAAAAAGGTGACTTGCAACAAAGGTGATTTGTTTTCCTACATTAACAGTTGCTGAAGTTTCCCTAGCTTTTTAACTCACTCTGTTACCAGGAAGTTTACCCTTACACCCTAACAAAGCTGTGTTATTTGTAACCCAACATTGGGTCAAATATGGACAACCATATTTTGGTTAATTTCTTTTAATTGAATTTCAGTAAAATGTTTTTAAACTGATGTGTTTGTCCATGTTTGCCCCAATGATGGGTTAAATGCAACACAGGATTTCTTAGTGTACTTTGTAAAGTTACTTAGACATTGCTCCAAAAAGGTGACTTTCAACACATCAAAGATTTGTTTTCTCACATTAATAGTTGATACAATTTCCCTAGCTTTTTAACTAACTCTGTTACCGGGAAGTTTATACTACATCCTATTAAAGCTTGGTTATTTGTAATCCAATGTTGGGTCAAATATGTACAAAAGCATCTTTTTATTTATTTCTTTCAATTGAAATGTAATTAATTTCGTTTACCTGTTTTTAAATGATTTGTTTGTCCATGTTTGACCCAATGTTGGGTTACAATGCGGCATTACTTAGAGTGTACTTAAATTTACTGAGATGTTGGTCCAAAAAGGTGACTTTCAACACATGGAAGATTTGTTTTTCCACATTAAAAGTTGTTAAAATCTCTCTAGCTTTTTAACTAACTCTGTTAGCGAGAAGTTTACCCTACGCTCTAATAAATGCTGGGTTGTTTGTATTCCAACGTTGGATCAAATATGAACAAAACCATCTTTTGGCAATTTTTTTTTTCTATTGAATTTGAATAAATTCAAATAAAACTTTTTTTTTTCAACTTATGTGTTTTGACCCAAGTGATGTGTTTTGACCCAATGTTGGGTTAATGCAACACTGCATTTCTTAGAGTGTACCTTTTGTTTTTATGTAGATTTTTCCCCAAAAAGTTCACTTGCAACACATCAAAGGTTTGTTTTCCCACATTATTAGTTGCTAAATATTCCCTAGCTTTTTAATTGGCTAACTCTGTTACGGAGAAGTTTACCCTACGCTCTGATAAATGATGGGTTGTTTATTATCCAGCATTGGGTCAAATATGGACAAATCCATATTTTAAGTAACTTCTTTCAATTGAATTTCAATAAAATGTTTTTAAACTGATTTGTTTGTCCATGTTTGACACAATGATGGGTTAATGCAACATTGCATTTCTTAGAGTGTACTTTGTAAATTTACTGAGATGTTGCTCCAAAAAAGTGACTTTTAACACATCAAACATTTGTTTTCCCACATTAATAGTTGTTAAAATCTCCCTAGCTTTTTAGCTAACTATTTTACTGAGAAGTTTACCATACACTAATAAATGCTGGGTTGTTTGTAATCCAACATTGGATCAATTAGAGACAAAATCATCTTTCAGTTGATTTCTTTTAAATTCATTTCAATTTATTTTTTAAATAGTTTTTAACTGATGTTTGACCCAATGTTGGGTTAATACAACGCAACATTTCTTTTTTAAGTGTACTAAATTTACGAAGTTGTTTCCCCGATACCTGATCAATCAAAAGGTGGACTTAAAACGCAACTCCTCCCCCCCCCCCCATATACGCATGTTATTAGCTGTTTAAATTTCCCTAGCTTTTTACCTCTCTTCAACTAGCTTACAAGGAAGATTACCCTACATTCTAAAAAATGCTGGGTGGTTTGTAATCAAACTTTGGGTCAAATATGGACAAACCTAACCATTGAGACAAAAAGTATAATTTACTTTTTATTTAGAACCAATTACCCCAATATTTG